TCTCTGTCCTGCACGTTAATGATGCCCACCTCTGTACCAGTTGGCGCGTTCTCGGGTATGGGATTAGACAGTGATTTTAAATAAACTACAGGGGCGTTATCATTTTCATCAGTTAGCGCTATGTAAACTTTTGCAGACGAACTTAATCCCAGACCGTCATTGGCTATGACTGGCAGTTCAAATGCATTCTTTTTCTCAAAATCAGTTGTACCAATTACTCTGATTTCGCCAGTTTTAAAATCAATAGAAAACACCTTTTCATCGATATCTGACACATGGCCAAAGTCATAGGACACCTCGCCATTCACTCCCTCATCAGCATCTGTAGCGCTGACTCTAACCACTACAGTATTAAGAGGAGAGTTTTCGGGTATGCTGGCTTTATAGACGGCTTGGCTGAATACTGGAGCATTATCATTAGCATCCAGTACGGTAACATGTATCATAACAGTGCTTGATCTCTGTGGTGAACCGCCATCAACAGCCGTGAGAGGTAAATTAATCTCTTGCTGTGTTTCTCTGTCGAGTTTGTGCTCAAGAACAAGCTCGACGTTGTTTGCATCAACCATTAAAATAAAGTTATCATTTTTTTGTAGACTGTACCTCTGAACAGAATTTTTGCCTATATCCGCATCGTGCGCGCCCTCTATTCGGAAACGAGTCCCCTTTTCTGCTGACTCCCTTATTTCCATTTTAATGGAATTTCTTTTGAATTGTGGAGAGTTGTCGTTTATATCTTGAACATGTAGATTTATACGATGTAGTTCTAAAGGATTCTCCAGTACAAGTTCCTGGATTAAAATGCATGACGGTTTCGTGCCACAAAGACTCTCTCTGTCAAGCTGCTCGGCAACGCTCAAATCTCCCGTTTGTAAACTAACGGCACAAAATCGTTCGTTATCTCCTTCAGCGTCAACACGGGCCTTGCGAGATGACAATGTAGTAATATCCAAACCGAGATCCTTAGCTATATTTCCAAAGACAGTTCCTGGTTTCAGCTCCTCTTGGATAGAATAGCTTACTTCAGTACAAACGGATTGCAGCGCAAGTATACAGACGACAAAGAGGGTAATCAGGCCAGGCTCTAAAAATCCACCGTATTCCATAATTACAAAAACAGAAACATCCGCCAGCAAAGAAAAGATACAACGGAGTTAGTTCAGCTCTCGAACGCGTTTGCGATGGAGTGAATTAAACAAATCCAAATACAGAAATCAGCACTGCAATCCAATGGTTCCTTCCAACACAAAGCGCAGGAACAATGGGTGGAGACGATGGCGTTGACGTTACAATGTTTCAAAGTAATCTGGTAGACAGCGACACGATGTGTTCATTTCGGACAGAACATCTGGTAAAATACCAGATTGACAGGTTAATGACGTCATGCAACTATTTCCCATATAAACACAATTAAGCACCTTAATATATTAAATTGTATTAATTTCATTAAAGCAAGTAACTACAGCCACAGTTTCTGCTAGGATCAA